CACTTCGCTCGCTGCCAAAGTCGCGTTTACGAAAGGAGCTTGCTGTTGACACGCGAAGGAGTAAGAATTGTGACAGTTTTTCGCACTCATCTTGTGTTCTTGTGCGTCCATTTCGGGCGTCTTTCTGTTTGAGCAGCGTACTGTAAGTGTGGAGCTGCGACAGTTCTTTGTACGAATTCACCCTGTGTAAGCTCATTTCGTGTGTGCTTTCTGCTAGAGGGGTGCGCTGCAAGTTTCGAGTTGGTTGCCGTTCTTCGCGTGAAATTGCGATTTGTTGATGTAACATTCAGTGCCTCGCCCTTTTGGCGAAACAAGGCACAATAAACGCTTAACTACCTCTGTGAAAACACGTTTCGATTTCCTGTTATACGAATTCCTAAAAAGAGGGATCAGTCACGTTTTTAAAGAAAATCATCCATCATGTTTCATTTGTATGACCTGTACATCATCGTCATCATCATCGTCATCATCATCACCACCACCACCACCACCATCATCATCATCATCATCATCATCATCATCAAGTCTACGGCCACTGCAGGCCAAAGGCCTCTCCCATTGTACGCCAATCAACCCGGTCTTGTGCATTCCGTTGCCACGTTATCCATACGAACTTTTTAATCTCGTCGGCCCACCTAACTTTTTGTCATGTCCATTTCTTTTTTTTATCTCAACTGTGATATTCATAACCTGGTTCGTTGCCTGGCCCACTCTGCTCTCTTCTTGTCTCGCAAAGTTACACCTATAATTTTACTTTCCATCGCTCACTGCGTCGTCCTCAGTTTAAGCTGAGTCCTCTTTGTAAGCCTCCAAGTTTATGCTCCGTAGGTAAGTATGTTGGCAAGATGCAGCTGTTATATACCTTTTTTTTTGGGGGGGGGGGGGGGTTGAGTGGCAGATTACCATTCGTAAATTCAGAATGCTTAAAGAACGTTATCTACCTTATCCTTATTCTTCTAGTTATTTTACTCTCATTGTTCAGCTCCGCGGTTACTACCTGTCCTAAGTATACATATACCTTTACCCAGCGTCTCTCCGCCTAGCGCAAAGTGCTGTTTTCTGCCGAGACGGTTGCACATTACTTTAGTTTTGTGCATATTTTTTCAGGCCTACTTTTCCGCTTTCCTTCTCTAGTTCTGTAATCTTGAGCTGTAATTCATCCCCTGAGTCCATCATCAAATTGCAGGTTACTAAGATACTCTCCATTAAGTCTTATTCCTAACTCTTCCCAATTTAGAGGTATTCACTCTTGTAAACGCGTGGAGAATTGCGTTGGAGAGATTTTTTCTTCCTGCCTTAAACCCTTCTTTATTAAAATTTGGTCGCTTTCTTTATGGAGAACTATGGTGGATGTGGATCCACTGTAGATTTCTTCCAGTATGTTTATGCAATGTCTTTGGATGCCCTGATTTCGAAGGGCCTGCATTACTGGTGATGTCTCGACTAAGTCAAACGCCTTCTCGGGTTGGTTGTATTCCGCGCATCGCTCTATTACCTGATTGATAGTATGAATATGGTCTATTGTGGAGTAGCCTGCACGAAATTCTGCTTAGTCTTCAGGTTGATTGAACTCTAATGCCGCCTTAATACATTAGCTAATATTTTTGTAGTTGCCCCGCCGCGGTGGTCTAGTAGCTAAGGTACTCGGCTGCTGACCCGCAGGTCGCGGGATCAAATCCCGGCTGCGGCGGCTGCATTTCCTATAGAGGCAGAAATGTTGTAGGCCCGTTTGCTCAGATTCGGGTGCACGTTAAAGAACCCCAGGTGGTCTAAATTTCCGGAGCCCTCCACTACGGCGTCTCTCATAATCATATGGTGGTTTTGGGACGTTAAACCCCACATATTAATCAATCAATATTTTTGTAGTTTGTAGAGAACAAACAGTAAGCCGATTAACCTGTCATTTTTCAAAGTCTTGTAGTCTTCCTTTTTATGGATTAAGATGATGTGGACGTTCTTTCAAAATTCTGGTACCCTTCCCGTCAAGAGACACTTCGTATATAAGGTAACCAGTTTTTCTAACACATCTCCACCATCTTCCAGGAGGTCCGTTGTTATCTTATCCTCACCAGCGGCTTTGCTTTTTTGCATTCCTTCTAGGGCTTTCCTTGCTTCCCCTGTCGTTACTGGCAGGATGTCGAATTCCTCTAGACAATTATTGTGTCTCACGATATAACACTCGCTGCTTTGGCTTCTGTACAGCTTTTTGTCGAAGTGCCTGCCTGCAGAACGCTTGTGACTACCGATCCGCTAGTTTCTTACTATCTTCGCGTGCACCGCTCCACCTCTGCCTCGTTCTGGAACCGATGCAAGTATAATCGTTCCCGCGCTCTCGCCGGCAATGGCAGCGGCCGCGGTGGCAGTCTCTATGGTGAGTGCCATGGACATTGTAGCGCCGCGGACAGCGACTACACCAGTGTCTACTCGCTCAGCAGTGAGGAACGGTCTGAGGACGACTTTCAACTCGTACAAAGACGTAAGGCGAAGCGCATAAACACCGGGTCCTCCCTGGTTTCAGGCAAGTCTACCATGATAACTATATACTCAGAAGACCGCAGTCAGTACGATTATTTCTGTACCAGACCTTGCTACCGATAACTTGAAGTGACTCCACAGAATATCTTTCTCGGTGCTTCTCGAGTCGGTGTTGCCAAACGGAGTAAGGGATGTGAGACTCAACTCGCAAAAAAATTATCTTGCTATCGACGTTGCACACGAGACTTCACTGTGCACACTGAGCAAAATTACGAAATTTGATGACATAAAAGTTCGCTCATTCATCCCATTGAGTGGTGGTACCACTACTGATGTCATCTATGATGTCGACATCTCTGTTTCGAACACAGACTTGACCAGTCTTGTGAAACCATGTGGCTGAGGGCATCAATATTATACACATGCCTAACATGGGCACATTTCGCTGTATAAAACTAATTTACAAGGAATAAACTCTGCCCTCGCATGTCAAGGTGGGCCACTTTCGGCATGCTGTACGACCATTTATTGCAAGGCCGCTTCAATGCCGCAAATGTTTCAGGTTTAGACACGTGAGCGCCGTGTGTCAGAGCACGGTAATTTGCTCGCGCTGCGCCGAACCACACGCTACAAACTCTTGTGCCGCCACGGTACTCAAGTGCCACAATCGCCTCGAGTCCCATGATGCTTCGTCAAATGACTGCCCCATGATACAGAAGAAAAAGGACTTTCTTAAGCAGATGGTGCCAGGCCCATCGTCTCGTCGGGAAGCTGTCGCTTTCGTCAGAATGCGGTGCTCCCGACTCCGTAGTGATTCAAGGGACTCTGTGACACGTAGTTCACAGGTGAAACGACCTCCTTTGCTTGCTAGAATATACCTGTCCACGTCAATTTCTGTGGACAGGACCACACCAAAGCATATGGACGCTGATAATTGGCCGTAATACTAAAGATGCAGCCAGAGCCGCAACCACAGTCATAGCCACAATCACAGTCAAAACCGCAGTGCAATACATAGCGAATCGAATGGTCGCAGCAGACCGAACCAACATTGACCAAGTGGCGGTGGTTAACTATGACATGCCTGAAAGAGACCAGAAAATCTCTGTGACGCTACGATATCTCAAGGACACCATATTTATGCGTTTGAAAAAGCTGAATACTCCGTCAGCCCAAACGGCCCTGACACTGCTGGAGGTTCTCAATCCAGTGTTTTCAGCGCTTCACTAGTCCCCACTGATCGCCCATGACCCTCTCCAAGGCCACAATTTTCCTGTCGCATGCCTGAATGCTGAAGTAATGTTGGTTAGAAAAGTTTCCGGCCTCAGTGACCGACTGATTGTACATCTTTGGGCGTGAAGTGCTCTCCTTCTCTCCTCTCTTTCTATTTTTAATCCCCAACCTCCTATCCCCAGTGCCCGGTAACAAACCGGACGCTCACCTGGTTAACCTCCCTGCCTTTCCTCTTATTGTTTCTTCCTCCTTCTTCCTCCTCCGCCACCTCGACTATCCTTTCCATATTGGTTATGATCTGTAGATATGGACATCTTTCTTTCTTTTTTTTTTCTTTCTTTCTTTAGAGTGAGATGGAACTTCCTAGAACCTGTATGCTTTAGCGAGCCACGTGCAAACCTCTCCGGAATAGTAAACATCTATGATAGATTATTCACACGAGAGATATCGAGGTCACGCTGACAGATCAGGGCCCCATTATCAGCAATGCTACTGTGAAGCGGGTCACGATATTCTGAGCGCGAAGGAAGGACCTGGGTGCACGCATTAGAGTTAATCCAAGAAACGAACACCGGTTGTTACTTTTGATCAGTCTTGAGTTTCTGTCACATATATAACTCTCTTGAAAAACACACACTATCTGTCTTTCGGAGAGTAGTGACCCTGCGAGGGCTGTAAAATGATCTCCAAAAAAGTTAACGTGCATCAGTGACGTACACATGCACGTTCGAAAAAGTGAAGATTCGCAAAAAGATCCAAGAGATAGCTTTTTTTTTTCTTGAGGTGTAAAGTACTGGGCAGTTCACGAGCAGTTCGACAGGCAAATTAGTTCTTTTTTCATGAGCACTTCAAGAGACTAAGACATGGACCAACAGGGAAGTAAGCGCTGGTGCCGTATCTTCCCCCTTTGTCTTAGTTCGCCTGCGGAAGGTTCTAAAGATTTGTACCAACTACCTCGTCTTTCGGTATTACTCCAATGAACTTTTATGCAATTCTCGAAACAGCCGCCACAGGTAATACCTCCAGTAGTTTATGATGACATGACAACAGACGTAAGAACACAGCTCGCTGTAATCAAATCAAAGACGTGGCATCGATGCGAAGCTAACTCCACCGTACTGTTGTTAGTCTTTTTTTTAGCTTAGCATATCTTACTCAGCAGCACAGTTTCATCAAAAAATCTGCATGTTACGCTTCCTGCAGTGAACGTATAGTACTAAAGCTGTTTGCTGCGAAAGGGGAACATATTATAGAGCGGCACTTTGCACAAGCCGCTGTATTACTACACTTACCGCTTTCTTTTCTTCATGCCACGCGTAACACAGTCTTATTCCCATGCATACTACGGGGAAAACCTGCGAAATTTCAGAAAATGTAACAACTGAGCATCGCGAATACACACACACTGTGCCAAGAAATTTGAGGGACACTTTGTAAATTCCAAAGTGTGTACGGCGAAAGCCTGTGTGAAAATACGCTGACTATGCCACGTTGGGTTTTGAGGGGCTGGTGTTCATGTATAGCGTTTGGTATTGGCCGCATGCAGTTAGAGACTAGCACTCTATCGAACGTGTCTCGATTTCGTGCTAGACAAGATACAGCAGCGCTCTCCCCGTAGGACTTTTTGCTGTTATCGCTCTACAAAACACGTCGCGGAAGCACTCCCGAACATTTCTGGGATACATTCGAAGTGAAATATGTTTTCAACGTTAAAGTATTAATTTTCGACAAACAGAATTTCAAACATAGCTTACGGTTGCTATCTTTTTGCAAAAAATGAGAGCGCCTGCTTCACGTGGTCACAGCGATGGCTTCTTGCGTGACATGTTGTCAGTCGCTGAGTGCAAGCTATGTGATATACATAGAGTAGACTGCCTGTATAACCTTCCAAAGCCAGCGATCGCACGGGCTTGTGGTATGAGCGCCGCCATGCAGGTTCGTATATGATGGTTTCGCTTTTGCTACGAGCGTTTTTGCGCCATGCATGCCATGAACTTTTGGCTGCAAACATATGATTTTTTCTAGTACACAAACAACTTGTGCGGACTCTGTCAGAGCAGTTAAAATTTTTTTTTAGAACTACAACTTCGGCGTGCCTATGAAGACTTGTCATGTCCCATGCCGATAATTCAACATTTTTTGTGTTTTTTCTTGGTCAGAATTAGTGTATGTTTCAATATCATTTTCGATATTCCAACCCAGGTCTACTGCATGCCAATATTTTTTTTATATGTCACCTCGCACTGCATATTGATCAGCATTCTAAGCAAATAAATTCATTGACCAAAGCATCACCACTTTGAGATTGCTGGTGGAAGGAGCAGTGGTCTACGAGGCCACGGCTGCGGGATGAAAAAGTGTTTCATCCAGCGGCCACGACGAGGTTTTGTAGCAGCATGAGTTTCTGCTGCGGCGGCTGCATTTTCGGTGAAAGCGAAAGTGCTCTTGGCCAGTGTGCTCAGATTTGGGTGCACATTAAAGAACCCCAGGTGGTCGAAATTTCCGGAGCCCTCCACTACGGCGTCTGTCATGACCTAATGGTGGTTTTGGGACGTTAAACCCCACATATCAATCAAGCCAGGGTGCCGCAACTTGCCGTTCACCGGTCACATATCGCATCGCGGGGTGCTCCGTATTACGTCATGGGATGCCTTCGCATACAACAGACCAAATTTGGAGCAGTATCAAAAAAAAGGCTTGCATTTAAAAAAAAAGATATGTGCAAATCATTCAACGTCCCCTAAAACGTGCAGAGTGAATATGAGCACTGCTGTTTCTATAAAAAAGTTGTATTTTGAACCACCCCACTCGGCAAAAAATCATTAAGTCCACATTAGCATTTGCCATGCCGCTCAAACTCTTTGAAGGATTCAAATGTGGATGAGGCAAGCTGGTGGCCTTAAGGTGGTGGTTCCACTCCGGCCGCAACCACTCCGCCTTTTATGCATTGTTTGCGGATGCTCTGGGCTCGCTGCGCTTCACAAAAAAAACTGATTTGGGCTACTTCAGAAAGCTTATTATCCCCTCTTTTCAATTACATCTGCTTTTAATGCCTGGTCGGAAGCGTTACTTAGTAGCAATGAAAATAGTGTGAGCAACAAAAGCATTTTTGCTGTACAAGCCTACGTTGTGCTGCGAGTACGACAAAACTGTTCAACGTAACAAATAGGAATTTGCTGTGCATTTAAACGAAGTGCAATTCAAGGTTTCTATGAAGAGATATTGGACATAAGTTAATTAATAATTTATTTACACTCTATTGAAAATGGGCAAAATAATGAAGTTTTGTGTAGGAATATCTTTTTTCATTTCATAGCAAAAACATTATATGTAATGACTGTGTATACTACATTAGACTCATTTTCCATGCGAAGTCGCTTAGTGCTCTTGCGAAAACTTGATGAATTAATACTGTGTTAATGGGGCGGTTTGTGGCTGTACTTGGTCACGAATTACTGATGAAGTGACAAAACTGTACAAGCTCATTTTAAAAAGCGAGCATAGGTGACGACTGTATACAGCTTTTGAGAGAAATGTACCGAGAAAATCAAGTTTGCATAGAATGGGAAGGAATAAGTAGCAATGGCAGCGTTGAAACTAATAATGGGGTGAGACAGGGATGTCCTTTGTGCCCCCTGTTATTCATGCTGTACGTGATGCTGTACATTGGGTTTAATCTGTGACACAAATATGCTGGCGTGATGGCTGAGCAGAGGCTTCCAGGTGTATTCTATGGAGACAATATTGTTCTATTTGCAGGCAGTCACGACGACATACAGCGGCTGGCAGATATATGCGGAAAAAAAAGGCAAGACTCTAGGGCTGGGATTGAGTGCAACAAAATGTAGATTGATGGGATTCAATGATCCCAACGACCACGGGGTCTCAATACAGGGCCAAGAAATGCCAAGGGTAAGCGAATACAAGTGCCTCGGAGTATGGGTAAATGAGGGAGATAGATATATGGAAGTACAGGAAAAAACATCGCCAGTGAAGAAAAAGAGGAATGCTGCAATCATGAAGCACAGAGCGTTGTGGGGAGACAATAGGTAAGAAGTCCTTCGAGGTCTGTGGAAAGGCGTAATGGTTCCAGGGCTTACATTTGGGAACTAATTGGTGTGCATGAAGTCAGAAGTGTAATGACGAATCTGTAAATCAAAGGACTGCGGGACGCCTCGCGTTGGGCGCTCACCGTAAGACGACGAATGAGGCCGTAAATATATATGAATGGGCAGGCTTTGAAGTTAGGGAAGCTCAGAGCAAAATGAAATTTCAAAAGACATTCCGCTCCGCAAAAAAAAAAAAAAAAGAAAAATGCTTGAAACAGCAGAGCGCAGTACGCTCACTGCCACTTAAAGGGGCCCAGCAACAATTTTTGAGCATGGTCAGAAAACTCTGCTGATCAGTAGTATTAGAGGCTTCCGACAACACGCGAGCCATATAATATAGCGCAGCACGCGGCCTGGAATTTGTGGGGGTGCTGACACCCCCTGTAAAGTCGTTTGCACTGCGTGCGCACGTGTCTCGCCCAAAAGCCGCATTTCGGGTGACAACCGCAGGGCGATATATGGCGTTGTGTTCGCGTTGGGCACCATCATCGTCATCATGGTTGTTACAGTGGTAGCGCCGGCAGTGACCACTGGCGGAAGCAAGCCTTGGTGGCGGGCGAGAGTTGAGCGAGTCTCTTCTGCGCGTGGAGGTTGCCGCGAACGGTTGTCTCTAGCGTGGGTCCTCGGCGCGTGGCACCGCGTGCCGCTTGTCGGGGACCCTCGTGGTAAGTCAAGCGTTGGCGACGCCGCCTGGGTGTGTTATTGTGTTTGTCATGGAGTGTATGGTCATACTGTGTACGGATGTCTTAGGTTGTTAACGATTGATGAATCGATTCGGCGGACGATATCGTCGTTCAAAAGTAGTTAAATAAATGTGTGTGTGTGTGTGATGATGATGATTTGTGGGGTTTAACGTCCCAAAACCACTATATGATTATGCGAGACGCCGTAGTGGAGGGCTCCGGAAATTTCGACCACCTGGGGTTCTTTAACGTGCTCCCAAATCTGAGTACACGTGTGTGTGTGTGTGTGTGTGTGTGTGTTTGTGTGTGTGTGTGTGTGTGTTTGTGTGTGTGTGTGTGTGTGTGTGTGTGTGTGTGTGTGTGTGTGTGTGTGTGTGTGTGTGTGTGTGTGTGTGTGTGTGTGTGTGTGTGTGTGTGTGTGTGTGTGTGTGTGTGTGTGTGTGTGTGTGTGTGTGTGTGTGTGTGTGTGTGTGTGTGTGTGTGTGTGTGTGTGTGTGTGTGTGTGTGTGTGTGTGTGTTTTGCTGTACCGACCACCTCTGCTGTGTCCTTCCACTTCAAGAGCGTGGCGTGGTGCTCTTTCGCCATTTCGAGACCTCACACTGGTGCCCAACGTGGGGCTCTTGGAGCGTCAGACGACAGTTTTCGCGGTTCGGTACAAGCTTTTGTTAGAGTCGAAGTAGAGTAGGTCTAGGGGGACTTCTTTGCTAGCATCGGCAGCGTGCTTTCTTGAAAAGCGAGCAGATTGGTTTTGTGACGTGTTTGAACTTGTCGGCGCGTTCAGATATCTTTTTCTGCTCGCAAGTGGTTTTTTTTTCTCGTGGGTTTTCAAGAGCGTTTAGTTGAGTACCAGAGCTATGTGGTCCGCATCCTGGGGTGAGCAAGGCGTAGAGCACGTGGTTTGTAGGCCAGGCCCGAAGCGACGGATTACGGAAGCCTCGTGGGTGGTCCGATTTTCTGCAAATAGCTTGTTCTATCTCTTTGGGCTCAAGGAGATGGGCGTCATTGCTGTCTTGTATTGTGGATGGCCGCCGGGACGTCGTGACACCGCCCGGGGCGGTGGACACTAATCGTTCGGTAAGCTACTGTGTGCGGCGAGCTAAAGGGCCACCTTACAGAGTGGATGTCTCCTCGCGGCTGCCTCTCCTACGGCTAGGCTGGGCGCTAGGTAGATGCCGGCTGTTGCCGAGCGACACATTAGGCCTAACACTCTGTGTAGCCAACTGTCGCACGTGACACAACCAGGAAGATCGTGGCGTCGAGGTATAGCACTCTGCTTCCCTCACTTTTTTATCTTCCGATGCAAGAGTTACAAAATGTGATTTTTGTTTTATTTTGATGAGCGTCTCGACCACCGCCGATGTATTAGCTAGCAGTACTGACCATGCCCGAAGCTTCCTTCCCTAGGCCCTGCTCCATTGTTTCTTTTGAGGGTTTCGGAATGTATGCAGCGAGAGGGATGCAATCCACGGCTGGCTGTCTTCTGCACATTGTCAGCACCACTGGCCAGGAATGCGGTCATGAGGTCGGGCGATGGAGATGTCTGGGAACTGCGCAACTGCCTA